GCTCCCTACATATCTAACCAAAATCTTTCTGCTTGAAAATTTAGCAGAAATATTTCTTCTTCTTTCTACTTACTGTGGACATGAAAAGCAACTGACCATAATGTCCTGTTTTCAACAATTTAGATGTCCAAAGGCTTATCTTGTCCCCTTTCCTCTTTTTTCTTACATAAAACAAACCTTATTTTTTCCATTTTTCTTTTCTAAATCCTTTTTCGTTTGTGTAGCTCCTTCCCACATCCCAAGGGTACCTTTCCCAAGCACAGATGGGCATGAAACTGCTCTGTCCCAAGCAGGGGACAGTGTCACACAGGTTTACCAACTCACCTTATGTGGATTATGATCAGGGCTGAACACACCTCTGGAAAGCCCATGCAGTAGAGAGTATTGGGACCATTTTTCACCCTATTTTGGCATTAGGGAGTACTGGAAGTCTATAGTCACTGAGGCAGCTGACAGTATGCCACAGCAAGTGGCCCCATTCCCAGGAACCACTATTGTGTGCAGTGGTATAGGGGAACAGGCTAAGAGCATGAATTTCTGATCAAGGCCGCACCAATGGCTAGAGGAAGCAGAACAGATGCTGCTAATTGATTTTCAGGAGTTCACAAGTCAAACACTGATAATTATAGGAGCAGCAGCAAACATTTAGTCTGCTAAGGTGGGGTGAGGGTTGATAGGGGCAGAGGATTAGCACGTGCAGCAGGGAGAATGAATCTTTCAGCATAAGTTTCCCATCTATCCCCCTCTAAGGTGGCTTGTAGTGGCAGCCTGACCAAACCCATCACTTGGGGCTTTGCTCATCCAGCCAGGAGCAGGAGTTACTGAAGCATGTGTGGTAGGAAATGCTGCAGGGAGCATGCAATCAAAGGGCTCTGTGGGGTGGCATGAGAGGCTGCTGTCATGAGCCGCATGGAAAGGTGCTCTGAATCCCCAGTGACACATTTAAGGGTAGAGGCAGAGAAGCATCAGCAAAAGGGAGAGGCTGAGAATAACCTAACAATAGAAGTGGTGCAAAACTCACTAGAAATTAAAGGAATTAAAGAGAAAGAATCCCGAAAAGGGCCTCAGAGGTAGTAACATTTGTCTCATCTCCAGGTTTGCTGGGGGAAAGTGAGGAAGCAGACAGGAGGAGCTGGGAGGTAATGGGACAGGACTGCTTGGCCCTACCTCAGCAGGGAAGGTGGATGTGAGCATGAGCTGGAGAGCAGCACTTGCCAGCTCTCAAGAAGGTATCATGAACCCAGAAGTAAGTTCTTATTACGTGGGATTATAGGAGAGCAGACAAAAGGCAATCAGTAAAGTAAAAAAAAAAGCCTGTGTGAAAACTCTTCCCACACAAAACATCATACCCCACAGACACAAAACCTAGTGTACTACCAATCCTCTGGCTCACCTTGGAGATCTCTGGCCCCAGCTTATCGCTGCACTGAGACAGGGCCCTTCATGTGGCACCAGGGTGGACCTCCTTCACCACCTCCATCTGCACACCTGCCCCTCTGTGATAAATACAACAGGGGCATCTAGGGACCCAAAACACACCTCAGCTGTCTGGCCAGTGAAGCAAGGGGCTCTACTAACTCACTAATTAAAAGGTACTGAGGGAAGACATGCAGCCTTCTGCCCCTAAGGAGCAGAGAACAGAGAAGTGAATGAAATGCAACACATTTGCTTATCACAAGAGGAATCGTTACTCATGGCTACAAGAGCAGAAGCAGTCAGATTACTGGCCTTTTCCAGAAAGTGGTTGCTCTATGTGTTCTTTCACGATTGTCAGCCCTCCGAGGCTTCAGTATATCTGAAGGACGCAGAAGGAGATTTATCATCATCAGAATCTAGGGACAGCTGTAGCTCTTCTGGAAAATTAATTCCTGTTCTGAAAGAACAGGTGAGGTTTTGAAGATATTTCTTCCCAAATTGGGATGAAAAATCAAAATCTCACAAGATGAAATCCTGAAACAGTTCAGTCACCCTCTGCATCTTTGCTGCTCAGAAAATTGAGAGCTTTGCACCTGTTTTAAAACATTTTCTTATACATATACCCCATGAGACGTACTCCTCACCTTCTATTTGCCATCTTTCAGGAATCAACTGCACCAAGCTGTACAGAGCAGCAAACTGTGTCACTACCAGGAGAGACTGAACAAAATCTTGTTTAATCTACAGCAGAGATGACTGGGAGACAACATGATAGAAGCATTCAAACATACACAGGGAAGATAAAAAGAGGAAGAGAATAAACAGTTCTCTGTGTCCACTAGGGAGATGCCAAGTAGTAATGGGCTTAAACTGCAGACAGGGAAATCTAGGTTACACACTAGAAAAACTTTCCAGGGTAAGGAGAAAGAAGCCATGGAAGAGATTGCCTCAGGATTTCATGGAGTTTCTAGCACCAAAGGACTCTCAGGTGAGACAAACATCTGTGAGGAATAATTTTTGTCTAGTTGATCCCTCCCTTGGGTACAGGGAGGGACTAAATGACCTCTTGATGTTCCTTCCAGGCACAGCGTCTGATTATGGATAAAAGTGCGCAGCAATGTAATTAAAGACTGAGCTATAACGAACGCAGACAAGTGGACTGAATCAGTGTTTCCCATGCAGCCTTTCATCTGTCGTCTCCTACCGCCGGAGTGTTTGACTTGGAAACTCTCCTGCGCTTTGTGCAGTTTCTTCTATATACTGCCTAGAAGTTGCCAGGACAAAGCATCTTGCCAATTTTGCAAAAATTAGTGAGAGTTTGGATGATTTTACACTGCAAACCAATGCACTTACAAAAGTATTGGAATTGTGTACTAATAATATATGAATAATTTATGACTTGTATTGTGGCATTTCTTGGGAACTGCTGTTAAGGGCCAGCACTCTGCTTTTCTTGACTCCCTGCAAACACGGAACAAAATGATGAACTTTGCCACAAAGAGCTCTGTTTCACCTTCATATTTTAATGTTTGCATTTCTGATGAATGGGGAAAAAGAAAAAAAAAAAAAAGAGTATGAGGTTCCAGCTATGACAGATATTTGCCTGTGATCAGAGCATGTTGGAGATGACTTCCGTGTTTTCCAGGAAGAACCTGCCAGTGTAAAATTCAAACAGCTCAGAGTTTGACTGTAGTAATCTGATCTTCCCACAGACTGAGACACCCACTTCAAGGTAAAACATTTGTGTTCAGAAAGCACTATGGGCTTTTCATACCACTAATACCGTAGTTCATCGTAGCCTCGTTTTAATCCAGCCCCAGCTCCTACGAAGTGAAGAACTGTTCTGGTTTAATGGATGCCAAGTAGTCCCCACAGACTGCAAGGCTCAGGCAGGTCCCAGGTCTATCCCCAGCACTCCAGCTCACCAGCGTCCCTTCCACTAATTGTCTGGCTCATCTGAGAGAGCACAGATTTGCTCTCAGAGACTGAAAAACCCCTCTTACCAATCATGGAGGCCTCCAAGCCCTCAATGAGGGTGTGATAGGGTAAAGCATGTGACAAGCAGGATAAAAACAGGACTGCATTTCGCTGTGCCTCCCCAGAGCCTGCAAAGCATTCCAGCAACAGATTCCCCACAGCTGGCCCTGCTAATAATCACTATCAAGATTCATGCTGCTACTTCCGTGCTTTCCTGCTCTGACTATTGAGTTTTCCTCTGTGAGAAAAAAAATTGTTGCCAGCTAGGAACAAATCCTCCTGGACTTTGCCTGATGGGCTTTAGTGAAGTTGTATGATGGACAGAACTTGATGTGAGGTCTCTGCAGCCTGAGCCTTGCCTGCCCACCCCTTGTGCAATATCCAGCCAGCCTGCCTCCAAACATGTCCAAGAGCCGTCCATACATGCTGATGACATGCCATGTGTTTCCTCACACTCCGGTCCCACTGAGACCTCTGCTGACTCCCAGACCATACAGTCTCATCTGGTCAGCACAGTGCCAAGACCATGAGGTAGACAGGTCTTCCTGGAAACCAGGCACAAGCTGGGGCCTTTCACTGTCTCCCCAAACTCCTTCAACTTCTGGAAGACCTTAGTGCCTGCCAGGCACTAGTGAAATGGCTCTTCTGCCTCCTTCAAAAGTTGTTCTTCTAACCCTCTTCTTAATGCACTTGTCCTGACAGCTCTCTATTTCATTCTCATTTCCTCACTAATTTCTTCCTGGCTTTGGCCATGAAGGCCCCTTGCAAGTCCACACAGAGAACAAGCAGTCAAGGACAGAAGGCTTTTTGTGCCTGGTGGGATAAAGGGGCATTTTTCTAAGCCATACACAAAGATCACATCCCAACCAAGCTCTGCGTTTTATCTATTGAGTGATCTGCTTTTGCTCTGACTTCTCACCTCCATCACTTTTTTATATCTCATTTTCTTATCCCTCAAACTACCCCTTCTATTTCAATTCAAACCCTTTAGGAGTGCTCCTTCTGAGCCTGGACCACTGACATTTATGTGGGAGGTGAAATGAACCAAAGCTTTGCACTAACACAGAAATCCACACCATTTCTAAAACAGTGCTTTGGGTTACATGCAAATTATTCAGAAATATGCAAATTTGGATCTTTGAACAACGATATGATCTCACGTACACATCCTACTTAATGCATAAAAAGACACTGTCCAGATAGACCAAGCACAGTTAACATTGGCATATATTACTAAATGTGTCTGTAGCTCAATCACAGGCATTTAGCATACTACCTCCAAGCCATGCAGAGAAATATTTTCTGTCTCTGCCATTGAAATCCATGGCACAGAGAAGGTGTCTTCTCTGAAAGGCAGGAAAACTTATGTTCAGAGGTTACAGAAGAGAAGCTGATGAATTTTTTATGCATGCTAATGGAAAAATGTAATGGCATCCTGCATGGAGAAGACAGCAGCCTGGGTATTGGAGATACCAGTGGTCCAGGATGCGAGAAGGAGATTGACAGCCCTTGATAAGAAGTACAGAAAGGTGGGGGGGATTATTCGCCTGGAGCCTTCCTCCATCCTCCTCCCTGACGCAGTTTGAGAATTACCAAACATGCCCTACCCTCTCCCACTTCCTCTCCTTGGTCAGAAGGATGATCACCAGCTTGGGATGCATCTGGTATCCGTCTTCACTGAACGACAAATTCCTGCCTTCAAAGGTGACATTAATCAGGTACCTGCAGGAGCAAGAAAAGAGCAAGGAGAATGTTAACACTTGGGAACTGAACCCAAAATGAGAGCCTGCCTCCCCCCTGTAGCTTACGCCAGGATGGTAGGAGCACACTGCAAACAATGGAAATTCTAAGAGGAAGAGGGTAGAAGAAACAGGACAGTTACTCCAGGAACTGGGACAGTCAGGCAAGGCAAGGCAAGGCAACCCCCGTTTCGTGACTGGGATAGGGAAGCGATGTCCCACCTTGGCTCTTAATTAATTCCTGAAAGCACACGTAGGAGTCACACACTTGTCCCTACAGTCCTTCATTTCCCCTTACCACAAAGGGCAGAGGGATCCATAGCAATTAGCCATGTAAACACACTCCACAGCCTACACTTTTCTCACTCTCCAAAGGGGATTTCATATGTCATTTGAGGACAGCAGTGGCCCACAGGTTAAGCAATGGAGACAGCCCCCCCAAAGCCCAAACATCAAGGCAACAATAAGGGAAGCTGCAGAGAGCAGAGTAAGGAGCAGCACACCTGTGAGAAGCTCCATCCCTATCAGAGCCAGCATGCCTCGTGGGGCCCAAAGCAAAAATATGAAGCAGTTTAGGAATAGCCCAGTTGATAGTTGAGGACAGCCCAGTGAAAGTTCTTGTCCATCGGGACAGAGTCATGCTTTATACCTGGCAAGATCAAACTAAAGGGTGATCAGCCCTGCAAATCCCCACAGCCAACATTAATGATTCTCTCTGTCTGGAAAGGCCCCATCACTTCTGTGCGAGGCATCCCCCTTTGAGGCATCTCATGTCAGCCGTACAAATGGACTATTAAACAGTCAGGGCTTCAATCTTATTTATCCTAAGGCCTCTTCACTCAGCGCTGGCAGTGGGGAAGACCTTTAAGTGGACCAAGATTACAGCTACGCTCATTTCAAGGCCTTGCTGCATAGTGAGAGCATGTTAAAGTGGTGTTGCTGTAAAAGAGAATCAGGTCTATTGTTTTCTTAACTGTCAGACGATCAAGGATGACACTGTGGGGAAGAGGAGGAGGCAAATACACATTTCACAGTTCAGTGGCTTATATGACATCTCTGTGGCACTGTGACAGTTTCTCTTGTTCATATATTTCACTCCAATTCACAATCCTGTTGCATGAAGTAGATTTTGCTTTTATACGCCTGCTTTTATACACCTGCTCTGGCACCAGTAGCAACACGTCACGTGAGAGGCAGAGGTGACCAAGCTGCCTGCAGGGCTAGCCCCAGGACTCTGCCCTCCTGTGCTTTGCCCAGTTCTATAAATTACACAAGCAACATTTCCATTACAGACATGAGAGGTTCTTCTGCTCTATTACACCATGACACCAGGAAACATCTCCAGATATTCAGCTTGTTTGTCCCTTCTGAACTTGATTTCAACCAATATCAAGAAAAAAAAGGGAAAAAAAATGTCTCTTCCTTCAGTGGATTCACACTTTCCTAATATCTGTACCCTGATAATTTAATGAAAGCATTGGTAACAGGGAAACTTCTTCCAACAAATAAAAAAGCAAGTCATTATTTTAGCTTCTTCCTTTTCACAAACTTTTTTGTCCTAACTCCATTAATCAGCCAAACTCATCCACTAATTCCCTATTACCAAGTGCAATCAGCAATTTAGTTTGCTTCTAAAGGAAATTCCATACTTGCTCCATGTTGTGACCTTCAGGAGACATGCATAGCATATGAAACAGCCATAAGGGAGCCCAGTGTGAAATATTTGTAACAAGATGATTTTCAAAGGCAGATTATTTATTATTTTCCAAAAGCTGAACCCATTCAGCACCCAAACACTGAGAGAACCCCAAAACATAAGCCACATGGAAAATCTTAGCCATGCTGTTGTTTGTAATGGTGTAAAACATCCTCTGACAGGACCACACGTGCTCTTTTTCTGGCATTTCTTTCCTGGCCATTTGCATTGCCCTGGTACCAAGAAATGCCAGGCACAGACCATCACTGGGTATACAGAGTTTACCAGACCTATGTAAGGCTCTGGAGGTGAGAAAGACCTTCTGGTGGACCAAGATTACAGCTACACCCATCTCATGACTTCTCTGCAGTGGCCACCAGAGTAAAGACAAAGCAAGGCTACCAGAAGATGATGATGGCATTAGCCTGATGGGAGTTGCAGCTTCATATGTCAGTAGCTAGAAAGCAGTGCCAGTATCTAATAAAAAAAACAGCAATATTAAACAGTTCTCAGCCCTCTTTCCCCTCCCACCCAAGAATGATGCCACTATGGGAATCTCCCTTGCACAGCCTGACAAGAAAATTTCACAGAAATCAGCAACAGATATGACACAAGAGGGTGTAATTTCTGTTTGTTTTACACCAGAAAGATTAAAACCACTAATAACAATCGAGGAGGGATCATCAGTGACTCCAAGCTTGGAGCTGCCTTGAGATTTACACTTAAAGTGGCACTAAAATCCCTCGCTTTGCACCTTAATGACTGAAATTAGTCTCCAAATTTGGCACAATAACTCTTCAGAGGGTTTTCTCTCAAACCCATTAGCAACATGTGTACAGAAGTTTGCAGGAGGAGCGCAGAAGAAGCAGCTCTCCCTCCCCAGCTTTCCCTGCACTCCTGCAGCTTGATGGGTCCTGTCACCTACACAGGGATGCAGGGCAGGAGCAGCACACAGGGAGCTGCAGGGCTTGCTTGGATGCACTGAGCAAGGGGACACCTGTGTGACAAACCATCAGGGCTTGAAGGACTCCCTAGCAGGCCAAGTAACCAGCATGCTGCAAGGCAGTCACACTTGAGTGGTTCTGCCCTCAGTCACTAGCAGCAAGAGTCATCCCTTTCGGCAGCAGTGCTGCCCTGGTATGCCAACACCACTGCTGCCTGCTCTGGTCAGGGGGATTGGTTTCCTCCCTACAGCCTACACACTGTCCAGTCCCCAAACAGGCAACCAGGTGGGTGCGAGACTCCCTGGTATGTCTGCACTGAGCCATCAGCTGCAACAGGGGCACAACGTGAGGGCAGCGGGCTGTGCATACAGGTGAGGTAACCCAAGATAAAACTGTGCCTGTAAAGGCCTTTCTCTCTCCATCTTGGAGTCCAAAACATCCAGGGCATGATTCCTTGGACGTTTTGGACTCTAAGATGGAAAGAGAAACAGAAAGGGGGCGTGGGTGGGAAAACACAGGCAATTTAATTTTATTTGCTAGAAACACCTTTCAGCAAAGCGTTTTGCTTCTGTGTGCATTTCTGGAGCTTCTCAGTGCAAGCACAGATGGGTCAAGCCCTTTCCCAGCCCCATGGAGATCCAGTGGCTGCAATGCCCAAACTCAGTTGGGTGGGAGCAAATCACACACAACACTGTAGAAACAGGCTGACATTGTGGGCCCCGTGGTACAGAGGAACAGGCAGGAACAGAGAAGGAAGGGACATGTCCTTGGGCACAAAGCAAATCAGATTTGGAGGGCCCCAACTCCCCGTCCTGTGCTCTGACCATTAGGTAAGATCACACACTCTAGATGTGAGGCTGTCAGCCCTGCAAGCTAATGGAGAGTGTTTCAAAGGCTGGTTGGCATAGGAAATAGAGCATTAAAACCACATCAGATGGCCAATTTAGGAGCGGCAGAGAGATGATGACATTTCAAATGGTTTCAGCTAGTGATGGAGAAAGCCTGGAGAGGTAAATGTGGCAGGCAGAGAGGGCTTAGAGGGAGACAGGGAAGGTGTTAACTGAATTGTTCTCTGCCCCAGAGACAGCTCTGAAGGAGATGCATTTGAAATCAGCACTAACCACTCCTACTTCTGCCTCCAGTGCCTTGCTGGGAATCAGCTCCTCCTGAACCTGCTAACTGGGTGGGCAAATTCAGATATTGCCTCGGTTCAGTCCATCACATTCCCCACCTCACACGTGTGCATGCACACACACACACACAGAGTCCCCTGTGCCCTGTCACTGCTTGTTATGCTCCAATGAGACAAGCAGCCTGTCTGAAATGGCATGATTATCGTAACATCGACCGCTTCCCTGAATAAGACAAGCCATATAAATAAAACAGCCTCTTCACCATCAGCATCAGGGAATCATCTCAGCAGTCCAGCATACAAGGGAAAAACAGGGTGTAGGGGGAGGATAGGGCAAAAAGGCTATGGGATACCTTTGCCAGAGAGCATTCACAGGGTAAAAGGCAGGTGGAGTGTGATGCAGGAAAAGGGGATGGGGATGGAGATCACCATCAGCCTCTTTGTCAACTCACTGTAATGTGAAACACTGATGCCAAACATAACAGAAGTGAGGTGAAGGCAGAGAAAGGCCTGTACCCCACAGAATCTGCATGGTGAAATAGCCTTTTTTCTTTCCCCTAGAGACAGCATTAAAAACCCACCAGCCAGAGGTACCAGGGACAGGCACAGCTCCTGCCCAGACCCACTTCATATCCAGGAAAGTGCAAAGACAATTATATTACTGCACTTTAGCCCAAGCACCCACAGCTCCAAACCATGTTCCCTTGCTCAGCACCAGCAAGACCTACTCAGCCTGGCTTGATGCAAACAGCTTTGGCAGAGTGCATCAGTCCTGCCCTGCAGCAGGTCCTGCCTGCCCCACGCACCTGCTCTTGGATGAGGATGGACAGACAGAAAGGTGGGTGAACTCAAAGGACAGGGAAAAGGGAGTTTAGGATGAGCGCATTTATCTACAAATGGAAATTCTGACCTCCAAGTGGCAAGTAATTGACAAACGAAGATTTAAACAGCTTTAAGTATGTTGTGAATAGCTTCTACTCTCATCTGAGAGACTGTAATAGTGTAGATTTTTTTTTAACAAGAAAACTGCAACTGTTCCCTTAATCTCCTGATTTAAACCTCTGTTCTCCAAACCCATGGAAAGCCTAAAATAATACAGATATTTTTTTCTCCATACAATTGCTTGATATTTCTGTGGCTGCCTCCACCTCAGAGGATAGCCAAAACATGCACAACAGCCATCCAGACCCAGTTGTGAGTGCATGAGGTCT